GTTCCTAGACGGGCATTACAAACAAGGTGTTAGCGACATCCACCAGGTGCTCTTTGCTAATCGTTTAATTCGTTTTAAAATTCCTTTTGTCATTTTTTTAACAATATATTGTTGTGTTCGATGTGATACTGCTCCTTTGAACACATATAGACTATAAAATAAGCGCCGAAATTTCGTTGTAGTATCCCTTTAAGCGAGGATACCAGTTCAAGGAGAAAGCATGACAGGGAACATTCCAGACATGAATGTTTCGTTGACGAGGTGACGAGACACGAATATTTCGGTCACGAATGTCGAGGTGATAAACAAGGAATAACTAAGAAAACAATCGTTTAATGGGGTGAACCTGTGCCCGAAACAAAAAGGAAATAGAAGATAACAACAGGGCCTCGCGGGAGTCGAAGTCAGCGTAACAACAGTATCCAACGCTGGGACGAGACTGACTTTGCACTGACTTTCGACACCCATCTTTCTTGGTGGTCGAACGGGTTCGTCGCGTTGATTTCTTTGAGGAGGTTGTGGGTCGCCTGTCAATAGGAAGTATTCACTGGCGGACATAGCTGTGTGCGTGGCTGCTGAGTGCGTGCTGATGGCGAGCTTCCACAGTTCTTTTGTAACGTCCATTCCGCACCCTCAAGATTGCCGGTCTTAGCAGCCTACTAATGTGGATTCCTTCTGAGCATGCGCTCTAAACAGCACCCACAAATATGGCGCCCAGTGAATACTCCTTATACCGCCCAATCAGGCCGAGTTCCACTCGCTCCGAAGAAGTTATACGGGGAAGGGCTACCATTGGGAAAAGGTTTGATCTCTATTGAAGTTTAGGGTTCAATGTAGAGGAGGGCCAAGACTGTCTAGTGGTCCGGGTCTTCTGTTGAGGCCTTGCTTGGCACCGGCTCTTTCGTCTCTCTCCAGCTCAGAACTTCCCGTGTCCTCCCCCGCCACGAGCCTCGCCCTTCTTTCCTTCTTTCTTTTTCGTCCGCAAGGTTGAGGTCATCTTCAATGGTGAAGCGAACCCGTACAACGAGCGTAGCACTTCCACTGGTCTGCCTCACCGCCGTCATTTTTCAAACTGGAGTAGTCTCGCGCCCTCCCGTGCGCGACGAGAGCGACGAGAATGGCACGCAGGGGACCGCTACGTATGCTCGCAAACATTGATAGCGAGCGTAGGTACGCATAGCTCGCTGCAGTCCGTACGTATGGCGCATGCGCAATGTGGAGGACGCAGTGTTAACGCTAAGGTTTGCGTTTGCTCCTATACGCAATACAAAAAAATGTACGTCTGCTGCCTGGAATCAAACCGTGGCCCTTTGCGGTAGAACCAAGCACGATAAGCGCTGGGCCACGGGCACACTGCCGGCCTGGTCAGCTGCGCGCGCGGCAATATGTAACGTAACTTAGCTTTAAAAAAATGGGGGAGTGTGAACCAGCCTTAATTCAAGACGACAACTGCAGCCGCACGGGAGCGGCACAAATAGAAAAACAAACAAACAAATGTTACGATAGAAAAACTGGCGTCAATTTGCGCCATTCTACGACATGTTGTGCGGGGAATTTAAACGCATAGCTTCGAACCGCAGTGGAGCGATTTGTTTTATTGGCTTTTATGTAATTACGGCATGAGCGTTTACTTTTTACTAATATATGCATCCCCCGAGCCGTTTAAAAACTTTCGGAGGTATGACAATACTGAGAAAAAATTCATCATGCTTAGGAGCGAGGTCATCGAGAAAATCTGTACCCTCAAAACGGCATCGGGGAGAAATAGGGATAGCAGACGAAACAACGCGGGGGACCGGCTTGAGCGTTACCTTGGCATCACGACGTCACTATCTACGCCACCTCCCATTCGCTCCTCTCTTCTGCGGCTAGCGGCGGCGAGTTCTGAACCGTGCAAGGAGCGGTTGGCTCTGCGGCGTTGTACGTCGCGCCGTTGAAGCCGAAAACTGGTTTTCGTCGGCAACCGGCAGCGCCGACCGGCGTGCCGCAGGCCTTCGCGACGCCAATGTGGTCGTGCCTTTAGGCGCCCGTTTCCGGCCTGAGCGGCGTCGGCGTCGGCGCTGTCGTCGCCGCCGCCGTCGCCGTCGGCGTAACCGCGTGGTGCATTATGGGACGCGTGGCGTCACTGATGACGGCATCAGTGGCGTCATCGGCATCGTCACTGATGACGTCATTAGTGACGTCACTGATGCATCTTTATCATCACTGATGACATCATCAGTGACGTCACTGGTGACGTAATCAGAATCCGCATCGCCATCGTCACTGATGACGTCACTAGTGATGACGTCATCGTCATCGTCACGTGACCTCATAGGGGTCACGTGACCCCCGTGTGGTCACGTGACCCCGAAGACGTCACGTGGCCCCCATGAGGTCACGTGACCCTCGTAAGGCGACGGTGACGCCGCTCGGAGGGAGGAGTAGCAGACAAGATGAGGAAATGAGGAGGAGAGAGGAAGGATATACCTTCACCACGGTACCCCTCCCCTCCTCCTCCTCAAGAGCTGGGCTCTAATTCGCCGCTACAGGGACTTGTAAACGGCTCCCATTTTTTGTCTTTTTTTTTACTTTGCGGGCCTACAGAAATATCGTACCAAGTTCCCTCGATCGTCATTCTGAAGCGGAGAGGCTTCCTCTTGAAACGGCTATAAACCTTTCCTTGTTTTTGTTCAGTTCACGGATTTTTCTAGTATATTTCAATAATCACCGGCCCACAAGCTTCAATCATCATGCCTATATATATATATATATATAATGGCAATGAGTGAAGATTGACAAGTGCAGCCGTAGTAATATTGTGAACGAAGAGGGGAGAAGGTGATTATTACATTTATCGCATTAAAGTTAGGGAAAGGGAAAGGAAAAAAGATCTGGCGAAAAATTGGGCCAGGAGCGGGGAGGTTTCAATCCCCGCTCCTGGCCAAATTTTTTGCCAGCTCTTTTTCCTTTCCCTTTCCATAACTTTAATACAATAAATTTAATAATCACCTTCTCCCCTCTTCGTTCACAATATATATATATATATATATATAAAGTTCTTATGCTATTACGTTTTGATTGGTGGCGTTCTTGCTTTTATGAAAGTACGCCATGGGCGCTAGACTGCCTCCTGTATAGGATAATCGCTTTTATATTGCAGTTCAAACGTCATGGATAGCGCGAAACAGGTGTCGGAGGAAATCTTTTTGATTTGCAGCCCTTGGTCTTATGCGCTGCGTTACCTCAGTAATGTTCATCACACAGTGTCTGCCACATAACAACGTTTTAAGTATCACAGTGCTTCGTGTAGTGTTTCGAAGTCCACCTGATTTACACTGACCAGGTGAGTGTTGAATGAACGCTTGCTAGTATACAAGCGACTCAAACAGCAGTGTCTTGCTGAAGTTTCATTGTTCGTGGAAATGGAGCGTGCTGGTTAAGTTACAGTGTTAGACGAGAATAGCATAGGGTACTTTTAATCTATATGGTTTTTGGATCTGCAAACTAAAGAGTAGATCGAATCGCAGAAGTTTTTGTACTTTCCAGTTTGAAATCAATACGTATCAAAAAAAAAAGTTTCTTTGAACTAAACCACGAAACTTAATAATTCTAGGGCTAATAATCGTAAAAACATAATATATATGGCATTCAGATTAGTGAAGCGCGAGGAAACGTTTTTCTCTGAAAATGGTCAAAATTATTTAGTAATTTCCCTCAGCTACAGCAAGTTACTGAACGATTTTCAGCAGCTCGGGCAGCGGTACCACACGATTATTCTTGGAAGTTAAATATTCAGGTCTGGGCAAAAGAGGATCCGTCTAATTATCTCCAGGATTAATGTATAGTGAAATTATAATTTCATGCATGACCATCGTTTTGCGAGTTCTAATCTTTATAGGCGGGAAAGAAAAATGGAACAAGATAGTTTACGAATTACCACCACTTGTGCATACTGCGCATATCTGTTTACAGATCATACAATATGTTCTCGCACAGATGTTTTTCGAGCAAGATGTCCTCACGAAAAAACGCGAAAAATTTCAAATTTGTGATTAAGAACGGCCGGGAGGAGAGAGAGAGAGCATAAATAGAGGATGACGTAGTGTTTGACAGGCTTCAAAAACGACGAATCGCGCAAAAAATCCCCTGTGTTAACGGTGTATTTTTCACTGGCTGCCGAAGGATTTCGATCGTCAAAGAGGACCTCGTCTAAAGACCTTTTGTTCAGGTTGGTTAAAAGCTTACTCTTGTTTAAGGTGCGCACAGTCTTTTACACGTTACTCTAAGCAATAAATCGATTAAAATTAAAATTACGCTCGGTTAAAATGTATTAAATCAAGTTACGTATTAATTGAGAGGTAAACTTATTGACCGTTACTTCTCAGATTACTTCAAATTTTGCTGATTTCAAAACGGATCTTTCGTTGTGCTGATATAGGATTAGAGTCACCGAATTATAAACTACTTTAAGTCTTAATTAAGCAGTTTTTACAAATCTTCCTCTTGTCAAAGATTTGTTTCCATGATTCCTTGCTGAAAAACTTGTGAAAACAAAGGGCACCAGTACAAAGGGCAAGGTCAAAATAGTAAAGGTTACAGGTAGGTTTAGTACTTCGAAAAATAATTTGAGTACTCTCGTCATTTGTTCCTCATAAAAGTATTCAAAATATATCAAGATGACTCCAAAAATTACCGAATACAAGTAATATGATTACTTGTAATGACTACGGTACAAGTCGGGATACGTATCACTGCCTAAAAAAATTCTCTAATGTAAATGATTTTTTTTTTACGAAATGATTTACCTTTGTAGGGATATAATGTATATAGTTATGTGAATGAGCCAATATATTCTTGACTGCGAGTTTTTTTTAATATCGTATATTGAAAGAACAAGCGGGTGTGATTGTTTTCCTCCAGTCTCTGTGACCATTAAAACCAAAAAAATGTTATTGTGTATTAACTGCCTCAATAAATAGGACTCAACATTTTTTTTTTTACATCACAATAGAATCGACGTCAAGGATGGCTGCTCGCATCATGAACCGAGTTATACACTCGCCCTTTCCCGATATTGATGTTGAAAACAGCTCAGCTCCTGAACTTATAGAGCAGCGATTAAAGAAATTTTCCGACAAGATCATTATAGTAAGTACATTGCTGCCTGCACAGTATTCCCGCGTGATTAAAACGTATCGTTACATTCGGGAGCGCAATAAAAAGAATTAATCTTGTATTTGTCCTGAAATGGCGAGATCATCTAACCTGGCAAATCTCGATGATTATGTTTTTACCCCTTTGTTTGCAAAATGACCTTCTTCTGCCGCACACGAATCAACACCGAAAAACTAAGTCAAAGCATTGTAATAATCTGCCCACATCGAGCAGAGAGTAGGAAATAAGTTGAACGTTTGTTTTCCTAAAAGCGTTTCGGTTCAAAGCTGGGAGTTTATTTAACGCGAGCATATATTGGGCTCTTTTACGTCTAGGTGGACGCCTATCAAAGCTTAACCGCCCGTGACCTGTTAACAAAGATACGCAAGTACGCCGTGGGTTTTCAATACCACGGCGTGAAAGCAGGTTCCATGGTGTGTGCACACATTGGCAGCACAGTTGAAAATGCAGCAGCAGCTTTGGGGGTTGTATTTGCGGGTGGTACGCTTGTCATGGCAAAGACGGCCTACGTTGCAAGTGAGTACTTTCCCTATGCCTCCGTTGCAATTGAAAATAGACGGCAGCCATCCCTCCAGCAACGGAGTGCCTAATGAAAGACCGTTCTTTTAGGAGAGCTTATGTTCACGATTGAAGACGGCAAGTGCACTTTTCTGTTAACCGACCAGCAAACTGCACCAAATGTTACGAAACTTAGTATACCACCGAGAATCAAGGTAAGTGAATGAACAGGTTTTTTTTTTTTTAACTTTGCAAAATTATTTTATAAAAAAAAACAAATAAAAAGGTTGAAGACGTTTACAAATGTTTGTAATGCGAAACTAGAGCGCAGCTTTTGAGGTAGTTTGATTTTGCGACATATACCGTGCTAAAGAATTTAGGGAAGAAATATCTATATCTATAAATATAGATATCGTACTGTTGCGGACGCACACACACACACACACACACACACACACACACACACACACACACACACACACACACACACACACACACACATATATATATATATATATGACATTTATTATAGTACTATTTATGTAAGGATGAAGAGAGGAGGACGCTTAAGACCCGCGCTGGGGGGCGCTGGGAGGCAGTATTCGTGCAGCAGGGGCAACGCTGTTGGTGCGGAAATGCGCCCGCGCCGTATTTTCTGCCTTATCCTCGGCGTCTTCGCAGCGCATGCATTTTGCCCATTGCACGAGTGGCAACTTTCACGAACCACCCCGCTTCCCACGCGTCCCGAATTTTGGTAAAATGTACCTATTTAAGGATATTCTATGACGCCCTGAAAGTTTCGAATGGACCATATGTTTATTTAAACCAATTAACAACTTAAACTAATTTGAGATATTAACCGACTGATCGTGACGAGTATCCCTATATACTCCCTCGGGCCATATAACCTACATGTGCACAAAGCATTACTGCGGCTCTGACAGCATTTTTTCCAAGAATAATACTGTAAAAAAAGGAAAACACAGTATAAATATATTTTCGAGATAAATAAATGAAACTGACCAGACGCTGCAGAGTTTATTTTTCTCACTTCGAACCGAAAGGCCGAAAGGAACTGTAGTGACCTTGCGATGGACTGCACAGGACGCTGCTACAAATCCCAGCCAATCCAGTCTTATGTACGTATAAGGTGACTACAAGCCCAGTGTGTCATTAATCGCCCCCCCCCCCCCTCCCCAAGGTTGAATGAAAAACGGAATTGAATTGGCCTCGATGGCTCGTAGCGTTCTGCGCATTCCATATTGCAAGGTGAAACAAAGTATAGACTGTACTTTGCAAGGAACCAATTGTTTGCTGTCACGGCAGCTTCTCGACCGATCACAAGCTCGGCCAGGAAATATGCATGCATGCCCATACTTCTAGGACACGGTTATTGCGCCTCCTCTAGGCTGTTCTCGGCAAGCTAATGTAAATTTTTTTTCACTCGAATAACTCCAAACACTCTGGTAATCTTCAGAAGGATATAAGACGGGAGTAATGCAGTATTGATTATATACTAACTTGAACCTCAATTATTATTATTCCTATGCCCGCCGTATGTTGTATTGGTTCCTGTGAAGCACCTTTGTATTTTCTAAAATTTCTGTCTATCGTTGGTATGAACTGAGCTGGTTGTTACATGTTCACTGAAGGTGGGAAAACAGCTTGAACTAAAAAAACACGTACTTAGAGACAGGACAAAAACATAGCTGATTATCAACCAGTATTTACTATCTTCATCTTAGTCAACCTGCGGTCTAGTCGCCATCTTCGGGGTCTCTACCATTACATGTTTTAGAGATTAAATAATTTTGTTAAGATATGAAAAATTCAAAGAAACGAATAAATATCTTAAAATAAAGACGAAATAAAATAAATAAAAAATAAATACTGATGATGTAAAAATAAAAACACCAATCATACACGTTCACTACTAGTCATTGCACTACAGCATATCAGATATGCATGAAAGCGTGATCGAAACACTGTTAGTTAATTCTTTGGCCAAAGCTCACCGTGGATATTGTTTTTCTTTTTCGTGAAGCGCGATTGAAGGACAGCTGACACTGTCATCTGCATTTTCCTGAATAGATAATACCTCACGCATCTCCCTTCCATGATGATTTCTGTTGCTTGCAAGAATTCTGATGTTGGTAAGGGCTGGACTACACTCACAAGCCCCGCAGTAGGCTTAAAAATGTCCTGCTGCCCCGCTCATGCAAGTGCTTTCTTTCCTATGACTAGGGACAGCCAAAGACTACTAAACGAAGTGTTGCCTCTACCGCACTTATGTCTGTAATAAAAAAAAAAAAAAAAACAACATGCCACCATCAAATTGAACCCTATTTCACAAGACAAATGTGTAGATTACGAGAGTCCGGATATCCTGATGATCTCCTGTCAGGTGTGTGTGTGCGTGAAAAACCTATGGAAGAAACTCAAATGCACATCACCGTGCAGCGATGAAACGAAGGCGAACAGAAATCTCGAAGGTATGTCGCAGTGATCCCAAATCTTCATGTATCACTCACATATTAAAAAAAGATCGCTGGAAGGCAGAACGGGCAAAAGGTTTGTTCTGCCCCAAAGGAGGCCTACTGCATGTACCACCAAGTAAACACGAAAGCCAGCCAAGAGAAGGAGTGCAACAGTGCTCATATGACACTATACGCAATGGGAAACTGGAGTAGTGTACCGTATTCCTCTATCTTGCGGCAAGTGCTACACCGGCCAAACAGGCCGATGTATTACAGATAAAACTCGAGAGCACGTAGCGGTAGGAAATAGGCACATTATCAAGAGACCTTTCAGCCCACTGCAGGATGTGCGAGTGCAATCCAGCCCTTACCAGCGACAGCACTCTTGCAAGCAACAGACATCAACACGCAAGGGAAATGCGTGAGGCATTCGTTGCTGAGGAAAAAGATGACTGTGTTAGCTGTCCCTCAATGACGCTTCATGACAAAGAAGAACATTATCAACAGTGAGTTTTGGCCAGATAATTGTACTAAAAGAGCTTCGATCACGCTTTCGAGTCTCTGTGATGTGCTGAATTGCAGTGACTAGTAGTACAACTGTATGATTGTTATGTGCTTATTTTTACACTATGAAAATTTATTTTAATTTTTTCGTATTTCTTCTTTTTTTTAGATAGTTTTTTTGTTTCTTTCCATTTTTCAAATGTTAACCAAATTATTCGATCTCACAAACATGTAATGGCCGAGATGCTGAAGATGAAGACTAGCCCGAGGATTGAAGAAGATGAAGATAGTAAATAATCGTTGATAGTCAGCTATGTGTTTGTCCTCTCTGGGGTGTAAGTGTTTTTCAGTTCAAGCAGTTTTCCCACCATGTTCTGCCTATTGTGTTGAACGACTGTAATATTCCCGAGAATCGTAATAGAATGCAACTCATAGGACATATCTAGTGATGTGATTGGCCTAAGCCATTTTGGAGCACCTTTCGGGGCAGCAAAAGTAGTGTTTTGGAGCATCAAATGTGGCCTTTGGAGCAACCAAAACACTGTATTGGAGCAGCTAAAGTGGCTTTTGGAGCAGATATTCTTCAAAAAAAAAAAATCGTTTCAAGCGCTGTACAAACGAAGGGCAATTTGCGTTTTATTGTGTTCTGATGTGACGTGTCGTGACAGAACTCGCTGCTTGCGTTTTTACTGCTCAGACATCTCACAAGTGTAGAGTGCTGTAAGCATTGTCGAGCAATTCGGAAAAACCGCTCGCCACCGATTTACTGGTCCCGACGTGACATATTTCGTCAAAAGTAAGTAAACGTAAAACAATGGATTGCAAGCGTCCCGGCTGATGCCTCTGTCGTGCAATCAAGTTTGCATGCACGTGAGGGCAACTTCGGCAGGCTTGCAGTTGCGCGTGCTTCGCCGTGCGATCGGAGACAACGGCTGTTCGATCGGAACCAAAACCATACCACTCCGCTCCGTCACCAACTGATTCCCAAAATTGTATGCAAAATGTAGCTGTCGAGCATACGACAAATAAACAGTCCAGCGGCGCGTGTTTGCCAGGCTGGCAAACAAAGTATAAGCTGAGCACCACACACACACACGCACACACGCAAAAAAAAAAAAGAGAAAAAGCTGAGCGCATCAATGCAAGACATTGCGAGTCAGGGTCAAAAACTTCTTGGAACACTTCGTGCAACGACGAACCTCGAGACAAACAAGCGCGCTGTGAGAGTTCAGCGTGCAGACATTGCCTTCTTTGCTTTAGCTCACTTCTCTTCACTAACTTTCTGTAGCGGCAGATTTGGCACGTATACCGGGGTCCCTCTCGAAAGAAAGTTTACCGAGAGGAACCTAGGTAATCAATACTTTGACACAGCAGTCTTCGAGGTGAAGAAGGATTCTTGTAGTAACGTAGGATTTAAACAAGAACCGGAATGTTGATGACCATGCGGCAGTCGTTACATTTCAGTTTAGAAAGCGCCATATCTGCAGCGACGTGGGGACGGCAACACCCAGCGTCGCGCGACCACGGTGACTGGAAGGCAGGGACCAAATATAGTTTTCCAACGGCCGTTGCTTTTAGGAGTGAGTGCTTCAGCTCACAAGGTAACTCCCGCCGCGCAAAAACGTGGTTTCGTTTCACAGAATGGCGCGTCATGGCTGGTACCCGGCACGCTAGAGCGTTCGCACGCACCCAGCGTCTATTGTTGAAAAAAATAATATATGTATATATATAAAAAATAAAGACGGCAAGACAAGATCCACGAGACAACGAGAGCGCGGAACTCGAGACGGCGGGAAAACCATGCGAGACCGGATGAACGATTAATGCAGGGGACTTAGTGTCGGGCGGCCGCTTGCGCCACTTAACACAGGCCTGCTCAATTACGGTACTCGGTTTAGTTTCGGTTTTGAAAGGTGACCGAATTTTTTTTTTTTTTTTTTTTTTTGGGGGGGGGGGGGGGGAGGGGCGCAGACTGGGCGCAGATTATTCCTATTTTGGCAAAATGCAGCAGGATGTAGCAGGGTTAGCCCATTAGCGCAGATTTGCGCAATTGGCGTAGCAATCACATCACTGGATATCTCCATTAAAAGCTGTAGTTCCTTTCAATTAGTTTTAAATAATGGAAACGAGAATGCACAAGCTGCACATAATATGTTTTGCACAAACCACGCTCCGTGCATGGCTTGTGCTAGTTTTTTTCTTATTGTACTCCCCAGATGTTTCGCTAGGGCGAAACCAAGCGAACGAGTGCTGTGCACAAGTACTACGTTAAATGGCTCTTGCGCGATGCGTGACGTAAATGAACTGAGCGGTAACATAAAATGACGTCAGACCTCTCTCGACAGCATGTTTTGGAGGGAGCACAATGCTATTAGTATGGCTGTTTTATGAATATCTGGCTATTGGCTCTCACTCACCACACCGACACAGGTTTAAGGCCTTTTCGAAACCTAGACGCCAGTCATGCCTCCCGTTTAACAGGGTGTTCGAAAAAAAATTTACAGGTTTTCTTTTTTTTACCAAAAAAAAAACAACAACAAAAAACATTGCATGGTTGAATGCCCATTTCCCACCAAGAGGTAGTGCTAGAGGTCCGAACTAGATGCCAAAGTTTCAGCACGAACCAATATTTTATTCAAAAGTTATAAGTGAATTTCTGAACATTTCAATGGGAAAATGGGGCCCATTTTTGCCCGTTTCCAGTTTCTGGCACCACTGAGCACAATGTATTCGAGAGCTCCGTCGGCCACCATTTTCCCATTGATATTTTCAGAAAAGCATACAGAATTTTCGAATAAAATATCGGTTCGCGCTGAAACTTTGTCAACTGGTTCGGACCTCTAGCGCTACCTTCGGAGGGACAATAAGCGTTCGGCAATAAGTAGTTTAATTTTACGGTGAAAAAAAAAAACCCTGTGAATATTTTCGGGGACACGCAGTACTTATCGGGGAAATTAACGCCACGTGATCTAAACAAAAATTCGACCAGTGTCCCCGCTACATTTATAGAGAAAGTGGATTTCACGTGACCTGAATACCGATCCAGTTTCCCCGCTAAATTTAGCGGCGAAATGTACATCACGTAACACACCCGTTCCGCGTCAACCGTCTTACTCCTCCCTTCCTTCCCATTTTTCTCACCCGTCCCCTTCGTAAGGCGTCCTCCTCACATGCCTCCCTTTCCCTCGATTTCCCCGTCCCTCTTCCCTCTCTCCCCACGTACCTCAAATTTCTGACCTGTCCCTTCCTCTCCCTCCCTTCCGAGGTCCTCCCTCCCCATCTCCATCTCTATAAAGCACCCTCTATATAGGGTTGAAAAAGAGGGAAGGAAAGGGAACCCTTCTTCACATCACCTGGTGTGAAGGTGATGTGAAGAACGGTACCCTTTCCTTCCTTCTTTTTTCAACCCTATATAAAGGGTGCTTTCCTCAATAAAGGTTTAGCCGTGTTTGAGACGTTCTCCTTCTCTTCCTTGTCGTCGTCTGTTTTACAGTAGAGTAGATTGTTGGGCTAGTTGGTTTTGGAACTTGGAATACAGGGACAAGGAGACGAGAAACACACTGCGCACTGTGCTGTCTGTTTCTCGTCTCTTTGTCCTTGTTTTTTGAGCGCTAAAATGTATTCCAAGTCTGTTTTACCTCAGTCTCGGGGTTTTCACTAAAATATTTAAAAATGACAAACAAATTCTTTTCACCATCCTTCCCTCTTCCCTTCCCTCTTCTAATCACGTGATACACCAATTCGTTTCCCCCGAAATTGAAAAGAAATATAGGTTGTACACTTCTCTAACGACGGTTAAATGCCTTGGAAACTATTGACACGATCAGTCCTAATTACTGCGTTATAGGACTCCAAAAATAAAGGTTATTTAAAGTTAATATACAAATATTTTTTTGCAATGCTTGGAGATGCCGGACTCCATTTCACACTAAGTCCAAGCGTAGCAGGCGCTGATTCGCAGTGGAGCCAATCAAACGCCGTCAAAAGTGCACCGTCACGGCGATCCTGGTCTTTCTGCACTTTTTATTTCCGGATGCACCGCAAGTTCGTCCGCTTTATTTGATGGGGTTGTGATGACGTCATAACGCCGAGCTCTGATTGATTCCGATTGAAGAATAGCAGGTAGACCCCAAGGGAGCTTGCCTTGATGTCTACCCGCCATCCTTCAATCAAAGGCAATCAGCTAGCTGGCGATCTGACGCCAACAGGACCCCTTCAAAAGAAGCAGACGAACTGGCGCTCAGCATGCCAATTATTCGCAGTGAATAATGCACCATGAGCCTGTGCTTTTTTATGGGCGTAATTGGTTCAGCCGGAGGTAGTAAACGTGCAAGCACTGACCACTGTGACGATGCACTTTTGGATCGCCCTGATTGGCTTCTTCCGAGTGTAGCGTCGGCTGCGCACGAGCATAGCGTGCACTGGAGTATTCACTATCTAGCCTCGAGGTATGGAAAAAAAAATAGGCTAAAATTTTAGGTAATGCGATGTTTTTTTTCTTTTTGAAACGTCAAACGTATATCACCATTATGAATATTTACTGAGTATTTTTGTTGTGCCGGTAACAAATGGCAAGCTCTAAATATTGTGGGCACCCTGACGGCTTTCATATTTGTTTCTCTTTGTCTATATTGCAGTCAATGTTCGCTGTAGGATGGGAACCAGGTTTCATCAACGTGACCCAGTTTCAAGAACTTTCGGACGAAACATTCAAACCTCACGTTCCCACTGACAGCGAGAAAGAGGTTGTGGTGGTACTGTACACCTCTGGATCGACTGGTCTCCCAAAAGGCGTGGAAATATCGCACCGGGGCTATTGTGCCTCTTTTCACGCATTCAGGTGCGCTGATAGAAGTGGAGTAAGCTTCACTGTTTAACAATAACGAAAAAAAAGTTAATGTTCTGGGATGCCAGTGGTAGCTTACGTTACTTGTTTGAAGTAAACGGATATCACATTATAGGCGTTTACATCACCCTGTTTACCTTATGACCAGAAAGCTCTGTAATAAACACGAATGAAGGGCAATATATTCCTTGTATAGCGAAATATAAACGGAAGTGAATTTGGTAAACTTCCGATAGAGTGATATTATAGTTTTTTTTTTAATTAAATGCACTACAACAGCTATTTTGCTCTATTGCACGGCGAAAAATGAAAACCAGTTAATTGCGTAACATACAAATAATTTGAGTCCAAAGATTTGCTGCAGAAAGCACTGCTGTTTGTTGTCTATGAATTTCAAAAGAATTCGTCATGAGACTCATGGTGCAGCTCACTGTGAATACGACAAAGCAAATTTTGAGTAAACACTTAAAGATATAAACGGTTTATCACTCTAAAAAAAAAGTCCGTGAGTCTACTTTCCCGCACAACACTAGGAAAACCAATCACCGCAATTTACGGAGGAAGCTCAGCGAATGGGCCGATGCCGAAACATATGTTTAGACCAAGAAACAGAGCCTGAGTTGTGACATTAAGCAATGCAAAACGTCACGTTTCCGTTGCTCAAAGGGCAACTCCGCTTAATTTCAAAAATTTTGAGATAGTGGCCGATTTTGCTTTTTGAAGCACTCAAAAACAATCCCCAATCTTTTGTTTCGCGAAAAATAAAATATTTTTCGTGTAATTTTACTTTAGCCATAATTACAAACCGAACCGAAACGGTGGCAAAGCTGGACAACATTGTATATTCGGCATCACTAAGCATGTACACCCACGTGATATACAAGGGGAAGAAGGAGCTCCCCTCTTATCAGGATCCTCCTTTGTGCCTCCTGGATTTGCACAGGCGTCGGTATTCTCCTCCCAGAAGATTATAGAAGATTAACCTGTCACTCAAAATTCTTACAAAAGCAGCTTCCCTCTCCTCCTTTTACTTGGTGTTCAAAAGTATGGAATGTAACACAAGCCGCGCTCAACGAGGCGATCGGCCGAGCGCGTCACTCACGTCTTTCACGGCGCTGGCACCACCCGTGCTATACCCGAAAAAAAAAAAAAAATTGGAAAAAAAAAAAAAGAAGTTGTACATGTTTGATGACGTCGCGGACGTGCCGGGAGAAGGAATTTGGAGGAAGCGGAAATGCAGCCGGGCAGTGTTGTCTGGCCCGCACGTCTCATCCAAAACCAGCGGATTCGTGCTTGTCAAACTTTGACAGCGATTTTAATAAACTTCTAGGCGGAATTCCGTCGTAATATTTGCCATGGGAGTTTTGTAGATGATAACAAAGAGAACTGTATAGTTTTTCACTACTGGAAAAGAAGCGGAGTTGCCCTTTAATATCACAAATCAAACTGCGTGTTTTGGTCTAAACATATGCTTCGGCATCGTCATTCGCTGTGCTGCCTCTGTGAGTTGCGGTGATTGACACTCCGAGTGTTGTGCGGGAAAGAAGAGGCACGGGGCTTTCTTTAGAGTGTACGACGCAATCATTGTCGTGAGTGCGACTGCAGCGCCCCACTTCGAAATTGAGTGATTGCTTCGTCTCTCTGTAATCATTTACACTTCTGTCTCTGCGTACCCATTCAATGTTCAAGCTGTTTCCCCGTCATCATTGCAGTTTCGTGTGTATGTCTTGTCCTCTCTCTGTGTGATTGTGTGATTGTTAAATGTTCAAGCCATTTCACCTCCGTCATTGACTAAGTAGTACCAACCAGCTAAGTTCAAACCGGTAATTGCTTCGTTGCTTGGGCGCCAAAGTGATTATGTGTGTACTTCCGCTCCGTGTATGCGCGGCGCGGGCTTATCCGCTTGCTAGAACGACGTCGAGGACAGCGCCTGAGGCGACCTCTAAGGAGACCTCTAGGACGACCTCTAAGGCGATCTCAAGGACGACCTTTAGGGCGACGTCTATTAGGACGTCGAGAACGACGTCCTAAAGGACGACGTTGAAGACGATGTCTAGAACGACCTCTAGGACAACCTTTAGGGCGACCTCAAGAACTAGTTCTAGGACGACAACGCGCGGCGCCAGCGTATACGGACGTCGTGTGTAGGGGGACGTCCTGCATATGCGGAGGTGGCGCGTAGCGCGTACGCACGGTGAATTCGAGGCCATATACCGTATCGCAAAAACCGGGTGAAGTAGCTAAAGAATGCTATCGCATAGACTACGCCATGCTTAAGTTATCGCATCACGCCGTGAAGTCATTGTGATTTGGACAATGCACGAAACAAACGCATTCTCTCCATATAGGTGATTCATTTCACCGTTGACAAAACAGAGTTAAAGAAAACAATAAATAGTAAAACAATATTCGATGATCAGATTGTTAGGAATATATATTGTGTTTCTTATGCCCTTTCCTTATCTTTTGATATATCCTACTATATATATTGACCATTTCTGGATCGATTTGTTCATTTTTCGGCATTTCAGGTCACTTGGAATTTGCAGTGAAGAGGATGTTTACCTCGCCTGGAATCCCTTAACCCACGTGTCGGGGTTTGCACTGGGCATGTTTTGTATGTTTATAGGAGCAAAGATCGTAATCACAGAACCCTTTATCTCGTGCAAAGATTTCCTCCACACTCTAAAAATGTTTAGGGTGAGAAACGTTATTCGAATTCACTGATAAGGATAAGTACGCGAAACATTTGGACCGCATGAGACCGCGTGAGTTGTTTATAGAGGTTGTCCCTTCTGCTGATTTGAATTTTAAACGTGCAATCAAATTGATCTCCCCATCACGTCTAAAGCTCCAAGCCTTTTTTTTTCTCTTTTTTCTGGGGTGTCTACAAAATTATTAAAAGCGCAAGAAACGCCGGGTGATACAGCGGCGTTTCTTGCGCTTTCAATAAATTTTGGACACCATTTTATGTTCACCATTCTTTTTGCCTTGTGATTCGTTTTTTGGTGTTTTTTCAGAAAATGTAGAAATCTGATTGGTTGGAAAGCGATACGTATCGTTCTTAGTTTAATTTTAAAAGGGCACATGTTAACTAGCGTGCGGTACCCAATCAACGAACACGAATTTTCCCCTAGACAAGAGTGACTACCTGAGTAGGGAAACTTATTTTATGAATTTAAATATCCTACCAGTTTTGACAAAACTCGGAGTGCAAACGAGGAACACTTAACAGAGCTCTTATTTCTTGTGCCTCTTTCTTTTTCTTTTTCTTGGTTCTCACTTATAGTTTTTGTTTATTACCCCAACGGCGTGAACGCAAATTTCATGAGACACTTCAATGTTCACGGTCCTCAGGTTACTGTGTGCTACAACGCTAAAAGATACAAATCAGCCGAATTTTACTAGAAACATGAGATCCGACCAGAAGCTTGGGTAGTGCTACCGTTACTAAGTTAACGTAGGAATGTCGTTTCAAGGGGAAAACAAATAAAATATACACCCTTATTATTAATTTTTTACGTGCCATAATCGGAATGTTATATTCAATGTGCATAAACAAATATCCCACTCAAATATTTTTGCTGCAACCCGATCACGCATATCAGATTTAGCTCCTGCTTTTTTCTCTTCGTTGTTCATAAACTTTTTAGCATCTGTCGTTCTACTGGCCATACGTTTAGCAGCGCGCTGTCCCTTTTTGCAAGCCGGAAACACGTACATTTTAAGATAAGTATTCATGCAATAAAACTGCGTTAATTTTGTTTTAATTTCACAGATATCGCTTTTTCTTGGAATTCCTGTCAGAATGCAGGAAATTGTCAACGAAGCCAGAAGGAATAATGACGAAGTATCGCGTGTAGAAAAAATAATTCTAGCCGGAACGGTGATCACGAAGTCGCTCGCAAGGAGTATTTGCGAGATTTTTGGCGTGGAGTCCCTGATCAATTATTACGGCATGACTGAAACGTTTGCTCTCCTGAGCGCCTCGCCTGTGGGAGAAGTCACCTTGGACAACAGTGGCTTCCCAGTGGCCGGAAGCAAAGTCAAGGTATGCCTGACAATGCATACGAGATGTGACAATTTAATTACTGGAATAGCTTTGAGAAAGAAACTTAATTGGCCTACCTGTGCACCCCTGGCAGATTATACATATTTAAAAGTTGGAATTTCTCGCGGTGCGTACTACGTACAGGTGAGGACAATACTAGGACTTGCTTGTTCAAGATCGTTCACTGCGATAAGACTTGGTGGATATTGTGGATGACGGAGTAGAATACTGAAGGGCAACTCCGGCGGAAAACGAAACCGAAATGAATGACTGGTATCGCTTTAGTAACACGGAGTATGGTCACAGCCGGAATAGTAAGTCAAAGTGAAGCGCGTACTCAACTAAAACTGATTATAACGATTCGGCCAAGCTGCTTTTTAGTAGGTGGCAAACGGGTTAGCTTTTAGTCAAGCAACACTGGGCAATGCGTACCGCAGCACCACCGTGACGTCACGTCGCGGCGGTACTGCTGGTATCAGTGTTGCCATAACTCTCTAGCAGATATTTTCGGTTCCCTGTAGCGCCCGAAACCAAACTTTGAGCCGGAATCTCTACAAAACTACACGCAATATCTAAAACAAATTATACCTTGTAATTCAGGGAGCCTGACTGAGCTGAAAACAGTCTTAATCCCAATGTTTACGACATTTGCGGGAGATGTCTTTTAATGATGACAATATAAGAAAAAAAAATTGTGTGAGCTAGCAAAGCACGCATTTATCGTATATGGCAATGTCTTACGTACGAACTAAACACCAGGAATGAACTTTGGAGAGCTAGTGGAGCGTGCACCATTTTGCGGGCTATCTAAGGAAAACAAAATGCCTGCCTTAATTGCATCTGCGCACTGAGCGCCGGATGCGGGGTTTAGTTTGCTGGGCCTGAACGCCGCATCACCGCAATCCGGTGCATTACCGCATAAGCATGGACGCAGGCTACGGACCGTAAAACACTTTGAAAACACATTAAGGTTAAGATGAGTATAAACGTTTGCAAGAACGGTCTCTGGTCACCGCCATCTCGCTGGTGGGGTCGGTAAATCGTCTAATAGTCAAGCATTGCTGAGGCCTACCCACGGTCTCAGTAATGCTCGACTATCAGACAATCTACACTCACCAGCAGCAAAATGGCGCCGCCTTGAAGCCGTAGTTACAAACGTGTATAGACCTAGAGTAACTGCATATGCTCTGCTTACGGAGCAGAGTATCGCAATGGTACTCCCAGGGCAGCCATATTTGATTCAAGGTTGTACTGCGGGAAGCGACCGTCATTTCTGCGGAAAACACAGAGGCGCGGCCGGTGTGATGCGGCATGCAGAGTAGAAAACATCGTTCGGTGACGCGCCGCGCGTGCGCCATCGTCCTGTTATTTTTCGTCCGCTCGCTTCTGCGCCCTCGGTATAACGGGCAGAATGTAGCAATCGACGAAAGCGTTGTTCCTTAGCTTTAGGTTTACGAGCGAGCAGCAGGTGCGCGTTGTTAGGGTGTTTTCATAGACCGCCTTTTCCCCTCTGTTAAGTCGTCCGCAACAAAGAAGCCAATACTGCGCCTGCGCACCGGTGGCCTCGACCGTAGAGTTTCGGGTATCGTAGCGGGTTGCGAAGAGCGTAGCGTTACGGGACGACGAAAACGCTCTACAAATACTTTCTTTTGTCTAGTCCAAGGAGCCCGAAAGTGTCGGTCGCATGCAGTGTATCGCTCCGCGAGCGCAGCAGACGCGAGAAGTCCTATCGTTCTCCATGTCGTCTGCCTCTCAAAATTGGAAACCAATGTCTTAAATCATCGTGCGCGTCATTAAAAAAAAAAAGAAAAATGAATAAATAAATAAATAAAAAGGAAAACGTTATTTTAATTTACTTCTAGACTGCTTGATTATAGTGTAAGATGTGTATTTCGGCAAACACAGAGCGAAAAACAAGCTCCGCTCGAAACTCGGCAATCAAGGTCACTTCCGGCATGAAGTTTGGATCAAGCTCGACGCACGATGACCGCTTCTTTGCAAATACGGAACTGGCGGCGAAAGGAAAAGGAGCACGATTCTCTGGCTCTCTATGCTGAGCCTGTATACTGGGTGTTTCAAGGAGCGGCCAGGCTCTTTAAATCGACCGCAAAATTCGGTTTCTTAACCTATCGCACTACGACTTTGTGCAGCGTTCCCCACAGATGGTGCATTTTTTTTTTGTAAAATTTGCAAAAAGCGAATTTACCTGAGGAAAAAAGTAAAGAAAGAAAAGGCTTAGCTCCTATGGAAACGCAGCGAAGCAACTGGTCTTCAAACAATACGGCGCCGTTTTGCTCGGGAGACAACAGATGGCGCAATCGGTCGCAACACCAACTGCCGCCAACGAACGAGCATACGGCGCCGAGAGCCGGCGTCTTTAGCAGACGGTCTCCTTAGCAGACAAGGAACTGCAGTTCCTTGTTGTTACCGCGCCTGTTTTTGTTTCTGCGACTGTCGCCGCCTGAAGAATGCGCGCCGCTTTTGAGTCGAAGAGATCGTCTGCTAAAGATGCCGGCCCTCGACGCTGTATGCTCGTTCGTTGGCGGCAGTTGGCGTCGCGACCGCTTGCGCTATCTCTTGTCTCCCGTGCGAAACGGCGCCGTATGGTTTGAAGACCGGTAGCTTCGCTGCGTTTTTATAGGAGCTAAGCATTTTTCTTTCTTTACTTTTTCCTCAGGCAAGTTCGCTCTTTGCAAACTTTACAAGAAGAAAAGGCACCATATATGGGCAACGCTGCACACAATCGTGGCGCGATAGGTTAAAAAGCCAAATTTTTCGGTCGATTTAAAGAGCCTGGCCGCTCCTTGAAAGACCTAGTAGTTATTCTATATAGAGTAATAGGGTCTATAGAGATTAAATATATAGGTAATTCTTACTAATATTCTCTATAATGTTATTTTGTATAAAATAACAATAGTGCCTACTAGAATAACTCTTACCACTTTTTATTACGTCAGTTTGGGGTTTGAGGCAGTATAGGATATAGACATTCGCCTATACGGCCTATGTGTGCCTCCCTATTGTTGCTGGTACAGTTACTGTGTACGGCCAAAAGGACCAACACATTTGGCACGCCTCAAAATATTTGAATTCCAAACGCACATACATAAAATTGGGCACTCGAACTTTATTTCGCAAGATGTTTTATGTCTATTTTTTTCTCAACTCATGTATGAGGTGCTAAAAAACGAAAAATAGAGCAAGAACGGCAACTGTGCGCTTCCTAGGCCTTATACCGGATGTACGTCGTCTGTACACTAGTTTGTGAGCTTGCTCCCAGGTGGTCATTGTTCACATATTAATTCAAAAATAATAATTATCCCAAATACCTAGCTTAATGCCAGCCTTTACTATTGGTTCTTTGCGTTTCTGCATTCAGCAAGTCACCCAGGATATAGCCCATAGATCAGCTTGCAGACAACAAACCGTCTGGTATCGGACATAGAAAAGACACGGCCTCCGATTCTGCTTTATTTTTAATATTTTAACACCTCCAAGTTGAGTTCTAAGAAAAGGACGTACAACTTCTTGCGAACCTACGTTCTAGTGCCCAATTTCACCCGTGTAAGTTTGGAATTCGAATTTTATAAGGCGTGTCAAATGCGTTGGTCTTGACGGCCGCAACCTGCACTTCGTTGGATAGTAAAGTGTTGCTAAGGTGTGTTCGAGGTACCCAGACAGGCACCCAAACAAAAATCAAATTCTATTCATGGTGGCCAGACTAGCTTCTGAAGCATGGCTACCTGCAAACGTTTCTTTGGTACCCTGGCTTCTCCAACTCAACCATTTACTTCGTGACTAAGGCACTTCGTGCCTGCTGCGGTGTCCTCTTCTAACAACCTAAAAAATCTTTATTTATTGTTAGGGTGATGCTGTCGGCAGTAGAAAGGACAAGACAGTACACGATGATAGAACAAACACGATTTATGGAGGCCGAGCCGGCCCGTGGGGCCTGGCGCGAGAGGGTTGTGGGCGCCACTGCCCCGTCGTCGTCTTCACCTTCCTAACAATATTGTGATATAATCAGGACGCGGTCGTTCGTCGAGTCTAAGCAAAGTTTTCTTTGTTTTTAAGTTAACTTAAATGCTGATAACTAAACGTACAAATCAAAGGCATCAAATCTGCCATCTAACCATCCTTACCATGGGAAACTACGAATAGCCGGATGACGGTGGTGCCAGCTCTCCCTTTTAGCGCATGCTTATTGTAAAAAAAGAAAAAAAAAAGAAGCAAACGGTGATTTAATCTTCTGTCCTAGGTTATAGACCTCACCAGCGGAGACCCACTCGGCCCGTGTCAAAATGGTGAGATTTTGGTCCACACTCCATGCATTATGAAAGGCTACCTCGGACATCCAGAAGCTACTGCTGAAGCACTAAGCAAAGATGGCTGGTTGCGTACAGGTACGATCGGCCGTTTCTTCTACTGTTCTCTTTTGAAAACAAATATAGTCATTGACATCTTAAGAAGAGCAGGGTGTGGCCCATTATCTTTTCCCTTTTCACTTCATGATTGGTTCTTCGGCATCGTTATCGACCAAAGGTGCCATCTCGTTGGGTGCGGAGGGATAACAAGATGGCCGGGGCTCATCCCTTCCCTTGTTTTGCACTCTGTCACATGACTATAGTATCATTTATACAGCGCTAAGCAAAACCATCTCAATCGTGCCCAATTGTTTTTTTGTTTTTTTTTGCGAACGTATTTTAGGGCAGTTTTTTTTCATATTTCGTGCATCTTTTTGGTCCTTCGCACGTGTATCTTACGCTACAAATGTGTTTTAGTGGGACTATTAAATATTTCCCACTCCATAAAACAATTCTCACACAAATTCAAACCATGCGTCTCTCGTCCTCTAAGAAATCCAGTGCGTCTACGTTCACAGAAAGCACTTGGGGTACCCAATCGCTGCGATCTGCGGTGTGAGCTCGGTTACTGCTTCGGCTGAAACATGTTTAGACCTCAAAAACAGTCTGGTGTGGCACTGAGCCTGAAGTAAGCACGTGAAACGTCAGGTTTAGATTCACAAGGCAAACTGTTTTGGTTTTTTTTATCTGTGAACATATTTCGAGCCTTGTCATGTTTCGAGTTCTTTGCGTAGATTACAGCGATTAAGTTTCTCAAACTTTTTGCGGGAAATAGATGAACTGTTATTTTTGGTATGTAGTCTCATAAACAGCAGAAACGAACGCGAATTGAACTCTGTTTTGACATTTAGCGATATAATTTTAGAATAAAAAAAAATATAGCCAATGCAGTAGGATTCCTAATTCGGGGCCTTTAATGTGCATCCAAGGGTGGGGTGCTATCGGCGCGTAAAAATTGGCACAAAACTAAAAACGTGAGAGATAAGACGTGCAAAAGGAAAGGGGGGGGGGGGGGGGGGAGAGGAGCGACGTTTTGGGTGCACGCATGTTCTTCGCCCCGCGAAAGTGAGTATATTACCGCACGTAATTATTTTTACGGCTCAGGTCATAATAATGGCATGTTGTCCCCACACTTACACACCAAGGATTATGAGGAATAAAGCTCGGAAATGTATTGTCATTGACTGTTGAAAGAAACGCAGGACAAAATTTCTTATGTGCAGGCTCCTTGTCTCGTAATTTGTTCTTTGGAAAATTGCACAATTTCATTGGATACAGAACGGTAATGAGGTGCACAATACTTACCGTGCCCTCCATTTTTTCAGCTGTCAGTGAGTGCTAACTGGATGCATTTTAACAGCTGACCTTGATATGAATGCCCTTTGACGGTATTTAAAACACATCTGGCTGAACTGTACAAAGAAATAACAACAACAAAAGAGTACATTTTTAAAAATGTATGAATTCCGAATATTATTTGCCTGGCCTTCTCGCAACGCGTGCGTCGAGATATCCGTATTTTTCTCGAGAAGCCTATAACAGAACAGATTCAAAATGCCTTTCTTTGTTTCTAACATGTCACTTTCAGGTGATTTAGGCTACTACGACGTGGAAGGACGGATTCACATTATAGACCGACTGAAACAGATGATAAAATGCATGGGAAACGTGGTCACTCCCGCTGAGCTGGAAGAAATCTTAATGGCCCACGAAGCCGTCGAAGAGGCCGTAGTTTTGGGAGTCCCGAGCTCGAAATATGGCGAGGCTCCAGCAGCTTGTGTAGTCGTAAAAGACTGCTTTGCAAAAAACCTGGAGAGTCTGGAGACGGAATTGAAGGAGCTCATTGCAGGTATATGTTACGACCGCCGTATTTATACTTTGCCTTCAGTGTATTTTTATAAACATTTTCCGTCCGATGCATTCAACCGTTGGGGTTAATGGCTGATTGTTCACCACTTTTAGTAAAAACAGCTCCTAAGGGACTTTTATTGTTAAAGAATTATCTGGAGGAACTATAGTCGTTACAATATGCAAAAAAAAAAAAAAAACGTTACAAATTGCGACATACTTGAAGAATGTAAACCATACTTGCACACCAGACCAGTAGTTATATAGAAAATTCGAGAACACGTATTAAATTAATATGAATGTCACTTGAGCAGGCGTCTTGCTTGCAAACTATACCTTTCGCAGCCAAATGAGTTCCAAAATGCTGCCGTACGTATTGTTCATAGATAAGTGTATATCCTAAAAGTTAGGGTATAATTTTTTTTTTGTTCGTGACTGGTATTTTGTTTTGAATGTTTTGAATACATGCATTGAACACTTGGTGATACGATTCCCTACCGAATCTTAAAGGATGTTCAGCATAACTCTTGAGAAATTCTCCCTGATTATACTTGTCAGGGTCCACGGAACCTGATCAAGTACGTTGACCTTTACGCCAAAATTGGTATTGCAAAGAATAAGCACGTTACGGTTACTGAAAAGTTAAGAAACCCAGAGCGGTGCCTAGTATTTTCACGCCCCTTGCTAGCTGTCTTGACTTAAACAGCGCAAATAAGTTACGTAAGGAAGAGACAACAGGAAGGAAAGAGCGCTGACTCACAACTGAGGTTTTAATAATGATGTAGTGAAAGAGAAGGAAAGTGTCCAGTGCTGTAATATTATTAAATTAAAGAAGGTTACAATTATTAAAGGGCCATATTAACGGGATGACAATTGGCATTTTTAAGTAACCCAAGACAATATATCTACGTACAAATATTCAGATGTGATCTACAAAGTTGTCGGTGACCCAACGGTTACTGGTTGTCACAGCCAGAAAAAAGAAGAATAATCACGATGTCGACGGTGATCCCAAGGGCGTTGGCTTCCACAAAAATGAAAATTAGGAAGAAGGAAAAGCAAGGTACAATACCTTGTTAGCTGATTCGTTCCTCTGAACTGTTATCGGCTCATGCCACAATCCCATTGGTGGCAGAGCGTCAATAGGTTGTTTCCTCTCCCCGCCTTTCTAAGACGGTGAGCGACTGTACATCTTCCATGCGCCTACCACACAGGAGAAGAATACCGAGTCACTTGGCTGCGAACGCCATAGGGGGGGTCTGATATTCCACAGACGAAAGCCACTCCGCATTCTCTGAATGCTTTCCACAGGCCAGTATACAAAAATGGCAATGCGCAGAATGCGATTATTGGAATGGTCTATGGAGTCAGCTTAATAAAACACTAGACCGGACAGGCGTATAGTTTTATTTTCTGTTTGCAGCATGCTCATATTCAATGAAACTACCAGAATAATAAACCAATGCGATTTTGGAGCTATGTTGTGATTGCAAATTAATATTTATTACTGCATCGTGAACTGGCGGCAGATATTTGGAATCGTTATTTGAATTTATGTTACATTGCTTTCTGGTTTGTAGATCAAGCAGCAGTGTTCAAGCACCTCTACGGAGGAATATACTTTATGAATCGTCTTCCAAAATCTGAAAGTGGAAAGATCCTGAGACAGGACCTGAAGGCGAAGATGGCCCGTGAATATGAAAAGCTGAAAGAAATCGACGGGCCGTCAGGATTTAACGAGTCGTGACTTGGCCAAGAATATTGCTTGGGCAAACATGTTTGTGCGTTTCTAGGGTAATAAACGAGTCCCTAACCAATATTTTGCGCAGGAGGGGATATTTTGATAAACGAAGTGCCGAGCCATCTGCTAAGCCTCGAGTTAATAAAATAAATTTTAATGAGCAAGCAGAACGATAGGTATTGGTGTGTAAGGTGATCACATGAAATAAAAATAAACTTGGACGCTATTTATAAAACGATTTACCTTGCAGCCTGTCATGGTAAAGGAAATAAAACTATTTTGGTTTGGTTGATTTTGTTTTGGTTACATTGTATTGCTTATGAACGTCTTGTGCTCGAGACGACGAATATTCGTCCGAGAGGTGCTTCGTCATTCCGTGACTCACAAGTTGCCGAGGTGGCTATTAACGTAGGAAGAGCGAGCTTCGTAGTTACTTTCAAAAGCACTTCGGCCTCTTGTGAGTCTCAGGCGTGCACGCAATGGAGGCACATTGGAAGTCATTGAGCGTCTGGAGGAGGCTGAGAATCCGAAAGTGACGATTTGCCGTTCTTGCAATGGAGAGGACTACAGACCTTTCCGATGACTGGCCCATTGTCCCAGTGTGGTCGATCAGTTCAGTTTTGAGCCGTTTTGAGTCAGCATTAGGGAGTTTTCGGAAATCGCTTTCCTCCCTCCTCTAAGCTATCCGCAACGAAGATACCGCTACTGCGCCTGAGCGCCTCTTGTCCTGACTGAAAAAAACCCGGAACTCGTAGGGGGTTGCGGGGTGCGTCGCGGGACGGCAGAAACAAGGGAGTTTTAGTAGACCGTTTTCGGCAGCCCGCCTAGCGCCCCCATAGCGCTCCGTAATCCACCACAGGATCTTGAACTAGGCAGACAAGGCTGGCGGCGCGGATGCGCGGCTGCGGCGTTTTCTTTACGGATACCACAATTGACCGTTGATACCGTAGCGGAGGAGAAAAACGATCTACTATAACTTCCTAACAGGAGGTTTTCGTAGACCGTTTTTTCCGTCCCGCAAGGCTCTCCGCAACCCGCTTCGATACCCGGAACTCTGTGGTCAAGGCTATCGGTGCGCAAGCGCAGCTGCGGCTTCTTCGTTGCGTAGGGCATAGCGGAAGGGGAAACCCGCTCTACGAAAACTTCCTAATCTACGAGTTCTCCCTTGTATCGTCGCTGGTTGGTTTTGGGGGGGTAGGATGCACCACATTCTCCGGGCTGGATCATGTAGTTATCGTCTATTTGGACGTTCGCAGTGGTGGGGTACTTGGGCTTGGAGACAATGTTTGCTGTTTTTCAATACGGCTTGAACATAACACGACTTTCAATAAACTTTGAGGCGTGGCTCAGCGACCCAGAAACTTTCTTAACGAAGTAAATTCAGGTTGCACGCGGTGAAAAGTTGGACTAGTTAGTCGTACATGTTAACGGTAAAATAAACAGCGCCAAAAAATGGACAAGACGATGAAGGACGCGCACGAAGAACTGAACCGAAGGACTAGAAGACGAGGTACACACACGACGCGCTTAGTGTGTGTACTTCATCTTCTTGTGCCTCATTTTTCAACGCTGTTTATTTAACCGTTTACAAATACACATGCTTCTCGTATCTTTCTGCTTTCCAACCGATTGCACAGGGCAGTGAAAGTAATTACACGCATGATCTGTCTTAATAAATACACATGAAAAAGTGCTGTTGTCAAGGGCTTCGGTCAACCATCACACCGGCCAGCCTAAAATTGGCTGCTTAGTTAGCTAGGTTTTTTAATTAGTCATCTAAGACATTAATGTGATCTGGGTTCTCAAATCAATATGAAAATATGGGTGAAAAATCCTCATACCCAATCGACTCTCATTGGCACATGAAACGCCAGCGTTTTGAATCGCACGAAATTAAAGCAGCATGCATTTTTATTATAGGTACCACATAGGCGTCTATACCAGAACCCGTAAACAGGTTCTGCAAATGCTAGCACAGTAGGGCTGACGCATCGTTTATTGTAATGTCTTTTTTTTATCGAGTGGAATATCTTCATTATTTTTCTTTGGACTGCAAATTCGACAGAATGATTTTTAGTTCCCGTCTCAATATCTTGCCGGTGTCGGTCTTAGGAAGGGAGTCCCAGAAGGCAATACTCGTGAAACGATGCTTGTGCACAGTCGTGTTATCTAGAAAAAGCAAACAAGCCAGAGATGTGGAAAGCCAGATAATACCTTGTTTTATTCATAGTATAGTGTAAAAGCCGGTACACAATAAAACATGCAATGCTTTTAATCAATCTACAAAATATTTAAAGTAGTTTGAATATTTAAAAAAAAATGTTCCGTCAATTTTGTTATGACTAAGTTACGTGCAAGCCGCTTCTGTAAAATATCCGCTACATTAAACGTATGAAGATACTAGACCGTAGATAGACCGAATAGATGCACTTGTAACGCTAGACGTGGGCATTATTTGCTCGATACTTGTGACGTGCATGTCACACTATTGTGCATGGGTCTACATTATAATGGTAATTTTAGACAACACACAGAAGACGTTCACGTGTTGTTTTTATTGCTGGCTGCTGAACACGAGCTTTTTAACAAACAAAGGGTGCAACCATCAGCAGAAATGGTCTCCGTTGAATTTCCTCCTTTAGTTTCTCAAAGCAGATTTCTACATTCCGATTCTTTTTAAGTACCTTTAAGTCAGGTATCAGACGACGCTACAGTCCAGACGAGGCCAATCGATCCCCAGTCAAAACACAATCTTAAGGCGCTGCTTCTCTTACAGTGCGTATCGTTTTATGGTTAAAAATTTAAGCGCACAATATGCGCAGTACTCTGTTCTATTTCGTTTTTCCAATTGTTTCCTGTGTCTTCTAGCCTTTGACTGTACTCTGACACACACACACACACACGCACAAAAGTGTGGTTACAAAGTCACTGATGTCAATGTGGCTCACATATTTACTTTGGTCGAGTACACACCACGACAAATATTCGAACTCTTTACCTACATGGCTTAGAGATTAAAACGTGACAAATATTGGGTGGTATGCGAGTGGCGGTTCAAATCAAATATTCCTTTATTGTGCAGACCCCTAGGAAAAGCCACGAACACCGGTACTCTTTGCAACGTTGTAGGTAGTGATAACGCTGCGCCATTAGATTTGGAGCACTATTGACACACCTCCACAAATGACAAAGAGATCTAGTATTAATGCAGTCGCTCTGAGAGGGCCAAGCAGTCTGTTTTGAATATTGCAGAAAAATTTGAGCATTAACAATTTTCAGCTTGAGAGCTCAAACATTTTAGCATTTCAGTGACTGTAGTGTACATTTGCTTCTCTTAGATAAAAATATGATATAAGTTGGCGTAGATGGTGAGAAAGTGCACCGTGAATGACGCATATGACTCTCACGAGCCTATTGCTGCCATGACGGCATCAAACATTTTTTTTACAAGTGTGCTTCGGATCTTACCGTACAATTCCATCGCAAATAAAAATGAAAAACAAGATGAGCACTCAGCGAATAGGGCCCGGGTCTATTTTTATATATAAACGATTTAGAGAATATCATGTGCCAGAAAATATTGCGAGAAAATTTCAGAAGACCAAGACATGTTTTTGGTCTACGACTCAAACATTTGCTCTTTTTTGAAGGGTAATAGTGTCCAGTTGTGTCCTGTCGTTTTCTTTTTTTGTGTGTGTGTCTTTTCTCTGTCCGCGTTTACTGAGCTGTTTATTCCCGGCACGATGGACATTTAGCAAAGGGTACAATTTCCGAATTATTAGTAAACGTAGATAAGCCAATGTATGTACATACCTTCCATCGAGGCGACCCTCGTGCTTACCTGTCAGAAGCTGCATTAACTCTGTTTCCACGGTTTGAGAATTCCTTCTGTGCGACTTGTTAAGCACAACGCATGCGACGGGTGTCTCTCCGTGTTCTTGGCTCGGAATACCGACCACAGCCACTTCAGCAACCGCAGCATGAGTGAGCAAGAGTTCCTCGATCTCCGCTGGTGTCACGTGATGGTCCAAGACCTTAATCATCTGCTTCAGCCTTTCGACGACGTAAATGCGGCCAGTATCATCGTAGTAGCCAAGGTCGCCTGGAAGAAAGTCGAAAATTGAACAACGTTACTACGAGTCGTTAGAAAGACCCCTTTTCAAAAGCCACTTGCCAAAAGATAGCGATGAAATGGAATTATACTGCTCCTCAGTTTAAACCCGACTACAGCCGATGCCACGAGCCGACGGAACTAATCAAGCAGCGCTAAAAGTGCATCGTCACGGCGATGTTTTTTTTTTTCTTCTGGGTTTATGGGTTGCTATTGGAGTTGAAGTGAAACGGAATATAGACAAACTCCACTCACGGACGTCACGCAACGGTGATGGCGCTGCTGTTGGTACTGCGCATGCGCCGACGCTTTACTCCTCCAGAATTTGGGTTCTGCGCACGCGCAGTTCCCACACCTGGCGTGGGCAAAGCGGGCTTGTTTGGAAACACTGTGTTCGTGGCTGGACTGAAGCTGAATAGCTCCACGTGAACGGGCGTTACTTCTTCCTCTTTCTTTTCTTTGAGGGAACGCTTGATTCGTGTCTGACGTTCCAATTAGTGCTGACGTCAAGACTCGTCCATGTTGAGCCGATAGGGGGGAGCCCATGAAGGCGAATCGCCGTTATCATCTGCTCTTACGTTACCATAGAAATAGCGCAGAAAAGCGAGTAAAGTTTTGAGAGCGAGATTACTGACGGTTAAAAAGTGCCTTTACTGCTCCTACAAGTCTCGCGAGAAATAGGCACTTTGAAAAAAAATCGAGAGTAATACAATAACATACAGCGTACACTAAAGAGAAAGTGACGCGTGCGAGGCATCCATCGGTGCAAAGCGAGGAGTTCAGCACCCGTCAACCTTTCCCCCTCTCCCCGGCACTGACAAACTGACAGACACCGCCGGGTTTTTTTTCAAAACGATCTCTTTCGTTTTCGTCAAATTCAAGCACACAGGAGGCGTGGAGCCAGAGAGGAGGAGGCGCCGAGCAACACCTCCCAGATAACAAAGCATGAGATGGCATCATCAGAGAAGACTAACGCTGGACACAGATTGGAAACAAGTGCAGCGTCAGTGCGGCTTTATCATCTAGGACGTGTTGCGACGCGGCGCTTCGGAATGCGGGCGTGATCAGTTGTCGCGATGCCGACGCCGGCGGCGTCTCTTCGCTCTGGGTTTCTGTAGTGGCGGTGCGCGGGCTGGTTATATGTGTGTGTAGTTAAAACGACGGATGCGGTTTCCTCCATGGGTGATATGGATGCGGTTTCTTCCAGAAGTGGTATAGATGTAATAAAAAAGGTGAAAAAAATTACAGCCAGATCCATTGGTCGATCCGTAGGGAATGCGTTAGCATGATCCTTGGGAAACGCCACACACGCCCCACTTTGAAAAACACTAACACTGATTCCGTAACCAAGTCATAAAAAAAGGCAGGAATAAATAGAGGAAGCAAAAGAGAATGCCAAAACAGAAAAGTGAAATGCGTCAGCGTAACCGATTCCCAAAGAGGGACCTGTGTGGCGTTTCCCAAGGTACATGCTAACGCATTTCCTAAGAGTCCATCATGAATCTTACTGTATTTCTTTTCTCCGACTCAAGTTATAATGCTTTATTCGGAAACATAAGGGTGGTAGCTTATGCTTCAATACTTTGTTGCGGGATATTTGTATGAAGCATAAATAATTGATGCCACCCCACTTCAGGCGTTTGCTACTGATTGTTGAGCCAGGAATTTATTCGCGCCTGGTGCTCAGCTTAATGCTGACTTTTCTCTGAAGTACACTAAAACTCTATAGGTGAACTAGACGGTGTAAGAAGTTCGCAGCGTGTGTCCAAACTCTCAGAAATAGGGGGTGTATAAGGGTACACACCTTGTCTTCTATGTAACTCCCCAAAACTACTTTTGGACGCTCTGTTCACTGACGTCGAGTTAGCGATACCAACTTTTACAAGTGGCTTGATAGCTGTTGGATATAACGTATTAAATAAGTAATGTGCGTATCAAAGACTAGAGAAAAAAAAGCACTGAGGTTTTGCAGCAGAGCCAAAAAAATCTCGATTGCCTTACCGTAGCCTTTAACATGTACATCAGCTATTTTAATAAGTTGTATCGGTCTACTATTAAGCCGCTCTTGAAAGTTGGTATCTTTGGTTCGACTTCTGTGGACTGAACGTCGAATTGTTGTTTTGGGAAGTTGCATTTACACCCCCTATTTTTAAAGCGCAAGTGTATTTCAAAGCCAACGATGAAATGCCAGTTATGCATACAAGCTGCAACAGTAAACGTAAAAGCAAAGAAGTAGTGCCAACTTTTGACCTTACTGTCATAATTACAGAAGCTTGCGTTTTATGGGTTTTTGAATATAAATTCGAATAGATTTTAAAGCAAAAAGGAGCTACAGTTAGAAAAATGCCGTCTTCACGTTACAACGGTGATAGCCGCCACGATAAACGAGCTGAATAACTAAAGTTTGTTGATTAAGCGTTAATTATTAGCTTTATAAAGTATGCTGCAATTGCAGTTCTTAAGCCACTATTAATGGCTAATTCTATATTAAACAATCGCTTTTGAACAACTATATTTCAGACGTTCAAAGTTCGGTATTTGCGCTTTTGTAAAATTATGCGTGTCCGGCGCCAATCACACGCCGGAAACAGGTCACGCGATCTCGCCTGCTCTTTTGTATCACTCCGTTACGCCGCTGGTCGTCCGCGTCGCCCGCGCTCGCCGAATATTTGGTCTGCTGCGGGTGTATCAACAGTATCGTCTGCTACAGGTTTAAAAAGTGCCTTTTAACATTCTGAAATTTAGTCACACGGGATGTTAGTACGTAGGCTGACCGAGGGCATCTGTGTCCGAGCTTTCCGGCTGTTCGACATTTCGGCATTGTTTTGAGATGTAAGTACGCATTGCAAGGTGCTCGATGACCCTGTCGCTAATGTTTCCTTGTATTGTCTGGATATACCAGTGATCCAGGCGCAGTCCTTTCCACCAGGCTACTCGGCGTTCAATGTGATCGGCTGGTAAAGGAGTGCCCTGATTTCGCCGCGTATCTGAATTGTAGTGGCCCGGACGCTTTGCTTGTTTACAACGCATTCGCGGTACGACGCGGCCGGAGTCTCCTGCCGAATTTGAAAGTAGACATTCGTTACGACCTCTCGCGCCTAACACCCAAACGTGCCTTTGCGAAAGGACGTTTTGAAGCGACCCGGTTAGGAAAGCAGCGAAGCACATGATTCGGCTATTAGGGAACGAGATCACACAGAAAAACCGAACGCTGCACCCGTTTGTCAGCTGATGTACGCATATTATAGAGGCATTTACATATATTACTAAAAACATAAACTTCAAATAATTCATTCCTTTAGTTGCAAATCCTTCTCAGCGGTACACATCTGGAATATTGTGCGACGCTTGCGCACGAAACAGTAATTTAAAGAAAATACTTTTGCGGCCTACTTTGTGTTGAGTAGGAATGCTCTTCTCGAAGTTGCGAACCGTCCCTCAGCCTTTGGCTGCGCTCGGACGGATACTGAAACGAAGTATAGAACGATTTACTATCTAGGCAGCGCAGTGCTGGCTCATTAGCCAAAGAAATGCCACCGAGATAATGACGTGGTGAGCAAAATTATTATGTCACACTTCTATGGATCATTATGGACGGAAGTTCTGTTGCCCTTGCAGCGTTCAATTTCGTAAATGAACGAACAAACGCGAAAAGTGTTCAATGAATGTCTTGAAACCCGTTGACATATAGCAAACTGCTCTACTCGGTTTGACCTTCCTAAATGGCTTTATTTATAACTGGAATGACATGACCTATAAAGCAATAATTAAAATGTTAATTAACATATTTGAGGTAATTAGTAAAATTATCGCGATGGGCATTTAATCACCTACTGTCCTCCAGACCAGATAAGTACAAGGTGAAGACGGCACCCCTGCAGCTCTCATTAAACGCAAAAATAATTTTGAACTAAAGCTGAACAACAGGTATAGGAATACTCTCACCGATTATGCGTAGTCAGCGTTCTCGAAACCCCGACCAGCGGGCGAAATTCGGCCAGTGACGGGCCGTTGCCCTCACAATGAAGCCCGGCCCGCAAATTGATCCCTGCAGATTCAATGCTACCGGCACAAATATGAGCGCGCGTAAACCAAAGTCGCCTCAAATCGCGCACAAATTGCGCAGACAAACCCCCCCTCCCCCCCCCTCCCCCACTTTTTTCCTTGGGGGGAGCGCCCCCCCCCCCCCCCCCAAGAAAAAAAGGAAAAGCTGCTACTGCAATGCGCGCGCTCTCGCTTTAGTATTCATTGGACATTGTGATCATCAACGTCCTTTTTTTTTAATCCACTGCTTTCTGGGGCACTACTTATGTCAAAATTCCCTTGCGTTCCCATGTATATTAGGCTTAGTGTCCTGTGTCGTGTCTACTGCATATTGTCAGAAGTCGTGCCCTTATTTTCTTTGGTCTTCTGCCCTGTGTGAGCATGTCGAAGTTTCTATACGTATTAATTTGTGCATGGTGAGTTCTCCCGAATGATTGTGTATTATTATAATTAGCTAAATATTGATTTTTAAAATAAAGCATATGTATTCATCCAGTTTAATTTTTTTTTTTTATAATTTTTAGTTTAACTATTAATTTTGCTTTAATATGCTTATCTAGGATTATGTATTTAGTTTTTCCACACTTCTATTTTATTATTTATATTCAGGCTTTCGAACAGCGACAGATCCATCTGACCCCTTGGCCAAAAAGTTTGAAAACCCCTGCGCTAAACTACACGACTTCGTTTTTTTTTTTTCATTTTTCTTTTGGCAATTCTTTTACGAATTTCAGTCCTAGGATGCCCTGGAATGTGCGAGATTCCCTACCAGTACGTAGCCAACCGTCGGTGGTGAAAGCGGTGTTTGTGGCTTCAGGCTTTCCGTAGTATCCGTTCATCATGTTGTTTCCTTGGGCCAGAATCTCACCTCTTTCGTAAGCCTTCAAAGGTTCACCACTGTCGAGATGTACGACCTATAGGATGACACAACACGCCAAAAAGCTTAGATGTAGTTTACGGTGCAGGGCTTGATTAGGCGATAGATTTCCGACGCGTCAATATATTTGGCAAAGGCGACTACGATCAAATGCCGCGACCATACGTAGAGCGCAAGTGTAGCCACTGAGAACTTCAGAAACGCCGGGCCTGGCTTAATAATGTTCACGCTTTGGGGATTTCCTCAGAGTTGTTGTCGCGGCCAATGCCGCAGTCTTTTTGGCTGCTTTGCAGACAATAAGACGCTCAAGATTCGCCATGGGCTGCGTTCAGACTTGGGAAGTAATCGGTTAGAAGTAACGGATTACATGTAATCCGTTGCTTTTTTGAGTAATTTTGTAATTGCCACGTCAATTTTTTGGCGTAGTAGTTTGTAATGTAATTTCGTTACAAATATTAGCAACAGATTAAATACATGTTACTTTTTCTTAAATAGGAACATAACACAAAAACTGGCGCAATATGAGCAAGCAATTAGGCAGCATAAGGATAGCAAGTACTGCAAAGTACAAAAACCTCGTGAAGAGGAAAGTTAATGAAAAAAGACACGATTTTTCGTACACCGGCCACAAGAGCCACTAAAAAAATGTGCAAGACATATAAAAATAGGCGTTGTCTTCTTGGTCTCTCAGAGGTGGCATGCAGACATTCATATTGGGCATGGGCACCGCTAGCTTTGTCTGCGGAAATCCAGGGTTCATTGTCGCTCGCCGTAAGCTAGCGGGATGGCAGATGTGGTTGCAGCTTTCGGTGCCTTGTCAGCTTACAGGTGAACGGTGTGCACCTACACTCTTTCTCTTAAATACAATATTTTACGTTTACAAGGACCACCAAAATGCGGGCATATGAGAAATAAGATGCAGTGTTTCAGAACATTTTTTAAAACATCGAAATTGTTTTTATTGTTTTATTGATAAGCGTACGGGAAGAGTAACGTAAAAGTGATTTGTAACGTAACGAGTAAAGTAATCAGTTACTTTTCAGCGAACGTAATTTGTTACTGTAATCCATTACATTTGAGGCTGGTGATATGTAGGTGTAATTCATTCCATTTTTCAAGTAACGGGCACAAATCTGACTGCGTTTATCTTAAGCCGTCGGTGGCAATAGTAAAAGAAAAAAAAAACGCCGTAATAAAGCGATTTAAAACTAAACAAAACGCTCACACCTTTGTATTGCAGCCTGCCGAGGCAGATGTTGCAAGCCTGCTCCCAAATGTCTTAGACTATAGCCTCCTCTATACTCACAAAGCCTGGAAGCCCAACGACGGAGCCATGAGTGCCCAGTCGCAGATTTGAAGCGCAAGGATCTGGTAGCACAGATCGTCAAAGAAATACTTCTCGGGAAACCTGGACGTCAGTGCACAGCTTTTGCAGCGGCGAGGCCCCGAAACACACTAGCTCGCTTGGGAGAAGTATGTTTCAGCGTCTCGCCGCAGCGGGGCGCGAGTCACGTGGCTCTCCTCTCATCCGCTGTCTGCCGTTCCGCCCTTTTTGCATTTCGGCATCAAGAGAAATGAGCAATCCCAAAGTGGTCTACAGAGAGGATGGTCTACACAGCGTTAAGGAATACATCTGGAAAGATCTTGGCTCAGGTCGGTAAGTAAGGAAGGAATAAGTTTGCCCGAAGAGCAATTCATTGTGTTAACTTTTTATTTCCCTGGACCAGTCAGAACTACAGAAATAAGGGTTGTGGCGCAGGCTAGGTGGTGAACGTTCATACTTAAAATAAAAAACACCCGAGACAAGTAAAAAGGAAGAGACAAACACAACGACACGAGCTTTTAAAAGGGCATGACATCTATATTGAGAAACAGCGCGAATAACACATGGACAAAGAGAAGAGAACACACAAGACGAGGCGCTGCCTTGTGTGTTCTTTCGGCTGTGTTTCTCGAGACCCTCAAGACACAAGATTGTCCACAGCATCTGCAGGTGTCTCCTTGCGTGATTCTTATGCAGCAAGATTATAGTCTAACAAAAGCCGCTGAGCTTCCACTTTGTTCAGAAAAGTTGTTAGCCTGCTGGTGGCCAACTACTTTTAGGCATGTCTTTTTTTTGGGAAGATCTGTTGCCTCGAACCAGTAACATCAGTATCTTTGGATGCTAGAAATAAAACTAACTGGAGTGTTTCACTGTTTGAGATTTGCTGGACAATGTCTTACAAACTAAAATTTGCTTCATTCCCTTCTTACACTTTGTTGAACAATTTTTTTTTGTATCATAGTATCCATAATATGTGTGTGCATGAGTGGCAAAATGAGAATAGGTAAAATCATAGCAAGTTTACGTATGCAAATGGGTCACTTTACGGCATGCGGCTCTTACAGGTAGATATGTTATGCATATAAATGGTTAATCGCGTGCACCTTAACCTTGCATCCGGCAACTGGGAATCCTGTATTTCCCAAAGCAACTTCCCCAACAGGCGTTGTGCTGATCATGCCGAACGATTCGGTGAGGGCGTAACTGTTGGCGAGGGTCCGAGGACGAAAGTGAATGTTGATTTCTTTCGCAAGCGTCTTCGAGAGAATATCGCCAGTTATTATTATAGTTTTGACTGATGGTATTGACGTTCCACTTGCCGTCGCTTGCCTTATGATGCCCTGCATCATAAGTGGCGTCCAGGACATGAGGGTGACCTTAATGGGGAAAGTGACTGGGGTTAGTTAATTGGCTAGTTCTGTAATACGACGTTCGCTGAATACCTACTGCCAGCTTTTTTAAGAGAATGCAGTTAATACAAACGTGTAATCAAGCTGGACAAGAATAGCGAAAATAATCTCCGAGGAAGGGGAACAGGGGACAAAGGAAAAACACAAATCTCCAAACACAGCTAGGTTACTGGTGTTCGACTAAAAAAAAAAACCCGCCTGGTCCCTTTTCTCAATGTGCACCAGGCACCTAGCTGTGTTTGGAGATTTGTGTTCGTCCTTTCTTTCCCTTGATCCCCTTTTCCAGGGATTATTTCCATGTAGTTTTCTCAGACACTACTACGAATATATTGCTTGTTTAATCAAATTAAACTTTAAGTTTTTACCTTCTAAATATTGGTGCAAATAGGCTTCGTATAATATACGAAACTTTCGCGTGAAGTATTATTAAAGAAGCTTGGCCAATCATTCCTAGTGAGGTGCCGTGAAAGGCTGACAGTGTTTTTCACCAATTCAAACACAAACTTAGCTTTTTGTCTTTACATCACGTGAAAATATGGCCAGCATTCGACGGATCAGAGTAACATACTACGTGTTTCCGTCTTTGTACATTTTTCGTTTTAAAGTTGTGTATCATGCGGCTGTTACAAAAATACATATGAGCAAGCGTTCTTGTCACGAATTCCAGTTTGAACATCCGTGGAGTCTAGAAACATATAAAAGTAATCTAAGTAAGAGCGAACGTATCCATAGGTATTTGCAGAGGTATCTGCTAGTTTCGTTATTTCGTGATAAACGGTTAGATTCTCTTGCGTAACGCCAAAATTGTCACGAGGTAAACGAAATATTAAAATTGTTGATAAAACGAAGCAATCCCGCCTAGATTTCGACCCCGTCTTAAAGCCGGCTGGGACTTTTACCGCATTTAATCTAAGCTTCTTATATAATAACTGAAGGAATTTCATTCGAAATGCGCACATAAAAACCGAAATACGAAGGCATGAAGCGATCTCCACCGTGCGTGACGTTGACGTGGATGCAGACTAGAATGTGTTTGCTGAATTTATTGACATCCATTAATCTTTGTCATATTTTACTTATTGGAAAGCCTTCCATGATTCAATAATAAAATAACTTTTATTATTGAAGACCTAACACACAGAGAAGATTTAAAGACCTAACACACAGAGAATATTCCCACAAAAATGAAGATCTAGAACGTCGACAGAGTCATTAAGATATTATGAACAAAATATTTGAAAATCTACTTATCTCACCGTGTAGGTTCTCACGACGTCCACAAACTCCTCAAGGGACAAATTTCGTTCTCTTATGATGACTGTAGCTCCCAGGCACATGGCTGCAGTGATTAGTCTCATACCCGATACGTAGCTGAATGATCGTGTAGACAAATAGACATCTTCTTCGTTGCAGTACCCGGTAGCCCTTGGAAGAAAATGGGGTCAGTTTTATGAAATATTACAAGCAGATTTTACAGTAAATTTTCAGGTATCACGAACCCATATTCCTATTTTGGCTCTATACACTCCATGGGAGAACTATAGGGGGCGCTTTGAAAAACGCGCGTAGCGCCGCTTGCGGAGGAGCTGGCGTTCAACAGTTTGACGTGTTCAGCAGTCTGCGGCGCCTTTTCGCGTGCGAAGCTGTGGGGGCGGAAGCGCGCACCGACGGAACTTTGACTTTTTGAACCGATACGTTGCATGATGGTTGGGGCAGACCTAAGAAGGCATCTAGTGGTTGCCCGCTTCTTATGTATCCCAGAAAATAAATGTTACATCTATCAATCACACTGCATGCTGGCTTCCGACAAGAAATATTCACGGCATCTACATTGCTGCAAAAAAGTGAAACTGAGAAAAAATTGTTTGAAGTTTCCACACCACTACATTCGATTTTACTGGTGGTGGTTTGAACTAAAAGGCACCAAGAGGATAGGTGGTAGAAGGGGAAAAACCACGGCACTCTTTCACATGATTGGTGAGGCGTTTATATCCTGAAATTAACCTACCAAAAATTGAGTTCAGGGTGAAGAAAAAAAATCAAGATGATTTAAACTACGAATTTAGCCACACCAATATCACTACGATCATTTTTCACAAGAACACTTTTAAAAAAATTCCCACAAAACGAATACCACAAATACGTGCTTATTATTCTTTGTTTGCAATTTGATGCCGTTCATGTATATTTATTTTGTTTTTCATAAAAAGAAAAGAAGCATCAGGCAAACAAAAGTATATAGATCCGCTGAACACAAGCGAAATGCGGTGATTTTCTGCGGTTATCGGAGAGGTGATCTTTGTA